AAACTAATCGAAAAATGATTACGGTAACATCTTTTGAACGAAAGAAAGCGAAAGTCATTGTTTTTGTCACGATTTCATCCCACTTTCCACTGTAAAACGTACGTCATTTCAGCAAATATATTACATTTCCGTGAATGCATTATGAATAGAATGCAGTATGAATAGAATACCATTGTAATATAATAGTATTTTAACCAAAAACTATTAAAAAAACGAGTAACTTCTCTTGAACATCGGAAGGTTAGGTAAAATATTTTGTTTTCATCATGTATTTTATCCTATTTTACATTAAGATACATCACGTTTCAGCAAAACTACTATTTATTTCCGAGAATATATTCATTCAGGCGCAGTTTAGGTAAAATATACGTGTGATGTAACAGTTTTTTAACTGAAAACGATTCGAAAAACACGTGTACCGTGTAGCCGATACTCAACAGCTGGTGGTGCGTCATGTGTCGTTGTAAACAATAGGAGGTTGAAGTAGATTACCGGGTATTATATTAAATGTGAAATATCAAAAAGGTTTTTATTTCCGGTATTTTTTGTAGATCAAAGAGAACTGTGATACCGTATATGATATGATAAGTTAGCCTGTGCTAAGAACTTCAACATAGACTACTGAAAACACGTTGTAAGGTAATTTAGTCTATTGTAAGTTGGTGAGCTTCATTTGCTGAAGGAACTGCACAACTTTTCATTACTAATTGGTACAAATTTTACGTTTCCATTGTTTACTGGCAGTAAATGGTAAATATTTTTCATGTCTGAAGCTAAAAGTTGCATCCCCCCCCACACTAGTGGTGGAGATGTTACATTTGACCAAAAAGACGCTGGTGTTTTATCCCAGCAGTGGGTGGACCAGCATTTTAGCTTAAGGTCTGCGTAGGTAATATTCCTACAAAAAAAAAAAAAAAAAAAAGTTCGTTCAGATTTTGTCCGAATTATCCGAAATCCGGATTAAAGGGGTCCGAATTAACGGGGGTCGACTGCATTTGTAGATTTAAAAATAAATGTTGCAGGTTCTGTATGGCATTAATAGATTGTAATGCTTGTAAGAGTTCAGAAATGGTTACTGCTTAGCTACCTCTGAAGAGTTGGGTGTCTGCCGTACAGACGTTAATCGTCACAGGTTATCATCATCAGTACAGTACACAGTAGTTATAGATTGATCTTTTATATTGACAATAATTATTTTTTAATTAATTAAAAATAATAATAGTGTGTTTAAGTAAGCAATAACATATTTTTAATTCTGGAGTTGAGTTAAGAAGAAATTAGCCTATTGGAGACAGCAACTGGGGGATTCATTTCCTTGTGGGAGACCACAACTTCACATATAGGATGTAGGCTGATTTTTTAGTCATTTTTCAGACAAAAAAAATGCATCTCATGAGGAAGGGTCGTTTTTTCTTCTAAAAACCAAGTTTTGTGATACACTATAGTCCTGAATGCGACGTCTAGCTTTATACCTAGTATGTAAATGCCTAGGATTAACTCGCCAGGCCAACATACAGGCAATTCAAACATCTAATAATTACTTAAATACGTGTATTAAGAGGACATATAGCTACCTGGAATTTAATTGCAATTCTCAAAACCCCCTCCCGCACCCTCCATCACACACATTGTTACTGTCATCTCTTGCCCTAGAGCGAGCAGTAAACAAATGTCAACTCTCGAGGGGTGGGATGTCGACGTCACATCCGGTCTATATCACAAAAACTGGTTTTTAGAAAAAAACATCTTTTTGTACAATCCAGAATGAGACGTCTAGCTTTTATTACCCGAGCAGGAGGTGGAGAGGGAGGTGACATTGTGTATACGGCTCCGCTAGCTTAGGTCCAGATTATAATTATAAAGTTTTTGGAATAATTTCCAATATTAGGAACATTTACCAGAAGGTAAAATGTTAAATTACATATCCCAATTAGGATACTCACTTTATTCAGATGAGGAAGAAGAAGGTCCTGGTTGTGGAGATTAACAAGGTGGGGAAGGGGACCCCAGTACCACCACATGTGAAGCATCTTTCAGAGATAGATGAAGATAGCTGTTTTGAAAGGTTTTGAAAGGCTCTTATGCCTCAGAAAGACCACAGACCCCTGCGTATTTCCTGGTGTCATGTGCCAAAAATTTTTTGCCAGGGTCTGCTTGACTCACTAACCGAGATAAATATTTTGTCATTTGACTAGAAGACAATTTCTTACCATCCTGTGATGAGAATGCATAGTGGATGCGGGCACCATTCCAACAGATCCAGACACCGTGGTTGTAGGATCCAATATGGTGCAATTAAGAGAACCTTTCTCTGGAAGGATCTGAGTTTTTGAACCACTTTGAGCAACATTTTCACAGGTGGGAACACAGATTGAATTCCAACAGTTCCAATCTATGAGTAGAGCATATCCTAAAATATTCGATAGTTCCAGAAATGCATAAGTTGGCATCTTGTGATTGTTTTGCGAGGCAAAAAGATCTATTTGTGGAGTCCCACACCTCCTCACTAGACTCTTAAACTTCAATACCTTTAGGGACCATTTTGTTTCCGTCGATACTGGCCAGAGACGAGACAACGCATCTGCTCAATTGTTTTGTACTCCCGGTATGCGCGTTGCTTTAAGGTAAAGTGTTTGTGTTACACAAACTTGATTTTTTATGTATTTATTTATTTTTTTTTACAGTGGGAGAAGGGGCCAAGATCTGGTTGAGCCTTGATGATTGTGACAAAACACTGCCACTCTATTGTCCATGGCAAACAGAAACGTCATGTTTTTGAAATTTGGGTTTGCCAACAAAAAGAATAGAACTACTGCTAATTCTTTTATGTTCATGTGTTTGTCCCTTGACGGAACTCTCCTTTTGAGGAATGGTATCCCAATCCCATCTCGAACACGTCAGTACAAACGACCAAGTCAGTTTGAGGGGAAACCCAGGGAGATGAACCGATTAGATTGTCCAAATTTGTCCACCATGACATGAATCTTGATCTGAATAGGGAGAGAAGAAGCAATATTTTTGTTTCTGTGAAGCAACTTCGAACCCAGATGGGTTAGTTGCTTCCTCCTGAACGTACCCAAAGGAACTACTATGGTGGAAAAATTCAACAGACCCAGTAGTTCTTCCCAATCGTGCCAAGAAACCTCGTCCTTTACACAAAAGGCTTCTACTTGGTTTATCACATCTTTTACCTTTGCTTCTGGTAGACTGAATGCCTGCTGATTGGAGTCTCAATGGAAACCGGACCAATCCAATTTCTGACATGATAGGAGATTTTATTTGACCTGGTTCATATCTAATCCTAGGTTTTGAATTAGTACTAGTGTACGTTGGGTCGCCCTTTGACAGTCTTCGAAATAGTTTCCCACTATCAGCCAATAGTCTAGATAAACAAAAGTTCTTGTGCCCTCCTTCGCACATAAACATTCAAACACTCAAACATGTAAAGCATACTGTACTTGTTAACATATACAGTGGTCCCTCGGTTAACAAACAATTCGTTCCAGAGTCGTTCGTTAACCGAATCTATTATTTCAATGGGATATTGGTTAATTGGTTCCAACTCACAGAAAAAGTACATACAAAGTACTGTATACCGGTAATAGAATTAACAAAATATTAAATATAAACTAAATACAGTACTGTACTGTACAGTATACTGTACAATAATAAATAAAAAACAAAAGAATACTGTATTTTAACTTACTTTGAGATGTGTATGTCGTATTACCGGCAGCTTTGTTTACATATCAAACAGCTGATTGTAGAGGCAGTCGATGATGACATGCCATATTCTTTACAGAGTGCATTGGTTCTAAGGCCTTCTTCATGTTTCATAATAATTTCTGCACTGTATATTATCAATATGTGAACTAAATTTCAGAATGACCAATAATTTTAATGTAAAAAGGCAAAAATATTCAAGAGACCAACAAAATCGATGTTCACTCCACTGTAAACAAAGTTAAACTGGGAAGGGTTGTTGGGTGATTCAATCAGCTGATTGGCACACAAAAACTGTTCCCTGTACTGTCTATATTATCAATATGTTAACTAAATATCAGAATGACCAATAATTTTAATATAAAAAATGCATAAATATTCAAGAGACCAACTTTCTTGATATTTACTCCACTGGAAACAAATGTAAACATAGAACCAATTACTGTATTGGCGGACTAGCCGATCAGCTGATGCTAAAGACAAAAAGGAATTCGTTAATCGAAGTTTTGTTCATTAATCGAACTGAAAATCCTCATGGAAGCTATTTGTTAATCGAACCTTTCGTTAACCGAGGGACCACTGTATGCCTAATAAACTCAGTGTTTGTTATTGATGTTTATATGATATTATGCCCTTGTTTCTTTATTTATTTTATGTTCTATAAGTGTTAAAACCTGACGGCCATGACCACCGTGATGCCCGCCATACATTATTTCTTATGGGAGAAACTGCTCCGCTATTCGCAAATTCGATATTCGCAACGAGTTTCATGCCTGTAACCTTTGAGATAAGTGAGGCAGCCCTGTATAAAACCCATACTTCGCACTAGAGATTAAAAAAAATAATAAAAAAAATTAAATCCAATCAATGGATATATAGATGGATATCGTTAAAGCAATATTTTTGTTATCGTATATAGCGAGATGGTGTTAATTCATGGCCACTGTTAAAGCGGTTTATTGCTGAAAGAGACAATGTTTATTGGGGTTTACCTGTACTAAACTTGTGTTTGGGGGTAGAAACACATGGTGAAGTGACTTTAAGTTCAAGGGAGAGATACCTACATCACAAAAGCTGAGAAACTACTGAGAAGAGACTGGGATGCTACCATGTGTGATTGAGAAAGACAAATACCTTCTTGGCAACATAATCTTGCCAGGCCTGCCCCTTTTTATTCAAACAGGCACACGTCAAAGGACGTGACCTGAAGCCCAGAGGGTAACAATAAAGATGTTTACATCATTAATATTTTGGACACAAGCAATTAAATTCAATAATAAATTCGTGTACTCTACACAGTACTTATTTATTATTAAATAATGATATAAATACAGTATGCATAAAAATAAATCTGAAAATCTTTATCTCTTAGTGGAATCTTAATTCTAGGGCACATCAATGTAACCATTCAAAATATATATTGTCTGTATCTATACATAGGCTATTAACATTTTGGGTTAATATGGAACATCTAATTATTATTAGACAATAATTATACCTCACACCACTCTTTATAAAAAAAATACTATATCTTCCAAGAGAGTCTTACACTCATTTTTTATTTATTTTTTATTCTGGGGGATCTAATCTTCTTATTGCCAATTTTTCTACAATATTTTTGCTTTTGTACTTTTCTGAATACACAGGATTGAATTTAAATTTATACAGTCAATGATACAGTCGCATGGTGCCTTCTCTTTAGCACACTGTCTGGCACTTACTTCCTTTAAATTGTCAGTAACCTGCCGACTCTTATTTGTGACACTTAAAAGCACAAAATATGGAGAAAAAAAACAACAACACTGACTTCTGAGTTAAAATATAATTACTGTATCATAAACTTGCATTCATAACCAAACATATAACATAACAAAACTCAAGGAAAATTTATAGTACCTTCACATAAAGGATGCAAAAGTGAATGAGGGAATGGCATAACATGTCAAATACATCTCAATGAAAATAAATAAATGCACATGTTACACCATTCATTAGATACATGTCTTCCATAACAATATGTGTCATCATATTATAGTTCCATCGACATCTACCTTGCAACAGAAGGATGGTATTCTTTGATTAACAAGCACAGAGAGTATTTGGCTGTCTATTCCATCTTTCCTGCACCTTACTAGCTCCCATAAAATTAACACCAAGAGATGATTCAGTTGTCATCAAATTCTTCACTTACAGTTGATTTGAATGTCCTTCTATCTTTATTTCTATGCCTCACTCTTTACTTTCTTTTACTTCCACCTCAACTTTCTTCTTTGGTGACTTTCCAAAAGCAGCATCTAAAGTGAGACCTGAAAGAGATAATTTACTCTTTAGAAGCAAATTAGAGAACAGAGTAGCAACTCTACAACTGTCAAAATGCCAGTGAACTTTGGTAAGTTTCAAGAGTCAATCCAGTTTACTCCAAAATTATTTTATAACTTGGCAACAGCAATTGTCTTGAGCTACCTCATCTGCCTATATTAAAAAATCAACCCAATAACTCAGATTAGGAATGTCAAAGAACACATAAAACATGAAAATCGGTAACAAACATAAATAGAACCTTTTTTAAACCAGTGATTAATAACCTTTAATGAACACAATATTCGATTAAAACTCAAGCTATTTTGCCAATTATATTTGTAAAACAAAAACTAAACCTGTATAATTGAAAAGTGGTCTATTCTGCCTAAATTCAAAACAAAAATAAATCTTACAACATTTGCACATTCATAAGAATTTGGTCAAAATTTCATAAACTTTTTACAAGTACAAAAATTAAAGTTTAACATTATAAATAATAAGAAAATCATATCAAATAAGCCTATGCTGTATGGTATGTATGATCACTTTTTCCAGTCATAATTCAGGAGTGGATTTGAAACACTATGTTTGCTAAATTGCTATACAGGAATAACATGGATATTACAATTGAAGCATTCCTAAAAGTCATTGCGTTTAATGAAATTGCGAGTATCGGGGCAATTTTTCCCATAAAAATTATGTACATAGTGGGGGGGGGATGCATTCCCAACCGGCAACTTTCACCACATATTTTTGGATATATACTCCTCATTATCCATGACTATTAGGGACCAGGGTTACATATACAGTAAGACCTCGCTTAACGTCGTCCCACTTCACGTTGTTTCGGTACTCCGTCACTGAACTTTAAAGAGAAGAAAAATTCGTTTAACATCCCGGTGATCCGATACTACATCGTTTTGCGTCTTCACGGGCTACTTTCTACGGCGCATCACCCGCTCTTGTCTGGCCGTGCTACGCTCTCTCGGCTCGGTGCGCTGTCCTCACTCGCGAACGTCACAGCGTCCAAGCCAGTCTCTGTTACTTCACATCATTCGTGTGTGCTTAAGTGCTTTTGCTCTAAACTATACTCTAACCATTCAAAATGGCTTCCAAGCGCCCATCAAGTGCTACTGATGCTAGTGTAGTGAAGCGGCAACGTAAGACCATTACCCTTGCTACGAAAATGGATGTATTAACCCGATTTGAAAAAGGGGAACGTGCTGTGGACATCGCCGCTGTGCTTGATCTAACCCCCACAACAGTGCGTACTATCCTGACCAACGCTGACAAGATTAAGGTTAGTGCTGGAAGTGGTACTACTCTGAGCTCTGAGTGCTACTAAGACGACTCGTACTTGAAGCACTGTGATACAGAAGGTGGAAAAGATGCTGGCAATGTGGATGGAGGACCAGAATCAATGCAATGCCCCTGTGAACCTTATAGTTATCCAGCATAAGGCCAAATCCTTGTTTGACGACATGAAGGAAACAGAGGGTGAAGGATAGAAGGAAGATACCTTTACGGCCAGCTGAGGATGGTTTCAACGATTTAAGCATTATAATAACTTCCACAATGTTAAGATGACTGGTGAAGCTGCCAGTTCAGATACGGTTGCTGCCGAGACATTCCCGCCAGAATTCTTATGGATTATCCAGCAAGGAGGCTACTCACCGAAGCAAGTCTTCAATGTGGATGAGACTGGTCTCTTTTGGAAGAGAATGCCTGAGAGGACCTATATATCCAAGGAGGAGAATAAAGCGCCAGGTTTGAAAGCAACAAAAGACCGCTTGACGCTGCTGCTTGGTGCGAATGCTGCCGGTGACTTCAAGGTGGAGCCTATGCTGATTTCTCGCGCTGCCAACCCTCGGGCCCTGAAAGGTTACTCAGGATCACCTTCCTGTCATTTACAAGGCAAACAAAAAGGCATGGATAACCGGCGCCACATTTAGCCAGTGGTTAAATGTGTACACAGTCCCTGCACTGAAGGAATACTGTGCCAAGGAGAACCTTAACTTTAAAATTCTTCTGATCCTTGACAATGCTCCAGCTCATCCTCCCAATCTCGACGACTTGCATGAGTGTAAAAGTTGTATTCTTGCCTTCCAACACGCCAGCACTGATGCAGCCTATGGACCAAGGCGTCATCGCTACATTCAAGGTGTATTATTTATGCCATACCATGGCCCAGCTGCTCAAGGCTACAGACGGAGAAAATAAACCAATGATCTGAGAATATTGGCGGGGAAGAGGTTTCAGAAAGTTGCCTGAATGGTGTGTGGCGTAAACTGTGGCCCGAATGTGTCAACAGTTTCACGGAATTCACGGACTTGGTCCCAGCTGTGAATAGGGAAATCCTCAGCTTGGCTAGACGGGCAGGGTTTGATGAACTGGAATCAGAGGATATTGAGGACGTCCTGGCATCCCATACAGAAGAGCTCACCAACGAAGATCTGCAACAATTAACAGAACACAGTCCCATTGAAGACGACGATGGCGAAGAACAACCTCAACGAACATTAATTTCCAAGAGGCTGACAGAATCGTTGAACATGTTCCAGAAAGCAATGCAAATCCTTCTAGATGACGACCCAAACAGAGAACATAGCTCAAAGGTACAACTCAGCATTGAAGACAGTCTTAGTTGCTACACCGAGATCTCCAAGCAGAAGATGAGTAGCACCAAGCAGTCAACACTCGATTCATTTTTCATCGCGGGACGGCAGGAGCTTCTTCACAACAGCCGGCAGCCAAGGAGGAGCAAACAATAACGGAGGAGGAACCCCTGTCAGAGCAGGAGGAGGAGGATATAGCCGCAGTCTCTCAGTGACTCGCCACCCTCTTCCTCTCCCACCCTCCTCCTCCCCTCCCGCCATCCTCCTCCTTCGCTCCACTACCCACCACACACCCGCTCTAACACCTCCGCCCATCAGTGAGTACCAATACAAACTTAGTACAGTGGTCCCTCGGTTAACGAACTCATATATATATGTATATATATATATATATATATATATATATATATATATATATATATATATATATATATATATATATATATATATATATATATATATATATATATATATATATATATATATATATATATATATATATATATATATATATATATATATATATATATATACAGGGGAACTTCGTGTTTTCTTCTTTTCCTTGTGGTTATCAGCATAAATATATATATATATATATATATATATATATATATATATATATATATATATATATATATATATATATATATATATATATATATATATATATATATATATATATATATATATATATATATATATATACAGTGAACCATCACTGTACGCGGTTAATTCAACCCACAGTGTACCGCGGAAAGTGAGAAACGCGTAAAGTGAACAACATAACATATGGGATTAAATGAAATAGAGACCAGCTGACCCCCAAACTCCACTTTTTCCGACACAATACCTATGTTCTAGTAAAAATAACACCTTAATTTTATGATGGTACATGCACACAATTAATACTTAAGAGAAATAGAGAAATACAGTCGCCAAGTTAATGTCCATTCAAATAATGGACTCAACTCCCTCCCCCTCTTCTCACACTACACTCGCTGGCTCTTCCCTCTCTGAGAAATTTTGGGGGGAAAACCACTAGATTTTAAGGTACAGTAATAAATAATACCTCAAACTAAAGTTAGGATAATATAATTGACATTGCTGGATTCCTTGTAAGACCAGGAATATTTTGAATATAAATGTTATATATTTTGCACAAAAGATAACATATTTACTCAGAGTAAACATTAGATCTAAAATTTGTATGTCTAATGCAAAATCTATGATGTTTATATTCAAAATGATCATCAAATTGTAAGAATTCCAGCAATGTAAATTATATTCTGGCCGGGTAATTTGTATGAATTTTATGAGCTAAAACAAATATCTTCAGTTAATAAAAAAAAAATATTCTTCACACCGTGCCAGATGGTCGGTCCTCCCTACCAGATAAATGTGTGGGAAAACCAGAATATTTACCTTTATAGTAATAAATAATACCTCAGACTAAAGTTAGGATAATATAATTGACATTGCTGGATTCCTTGTACGACCAGGAATATTTTGAATATAAATGTCATATATTTTGCACAAAAGATAACATATTTACTCAGAGTAAACATTAGATCTAAAATTTGTATGTCTAATGCAAAATCTATGATGTTTATATTCAAAATGATCATCAAATTGGAAGAATTCCAGCAATGTAAATTATATTCTGGCCAGATAATTTGTATGAATTTTATGAGCTAAATAAAAAAATTATACTTCACCCGGGTAAAGGGGTACACACACCGCGGAATGTGAGCATCCTGGGTTCTGGCAGGGTACCGCGTAAACGTGTAAACGCGGAATGTGGGACCGCGTAAAGCGAGGGTTGACTGTATGTATATATGTATATTTTATCTCGTGCAAAATATATGACGTTTATATTCAAATTATTCGCTGTCTTGCAAGGATTCCAGCAATGCAAATTATATTCTCCTAACTTTAGTCTGTGATATTATATAAGATACAAAATTAAAGCCTATTGTATAACCAGAAACCTTTGCTGGGAGGAGGGGGGGTGGTGGGAGAGAGGCAGGGAGGGGTGACAATGACTTGTTTGACAGTTAGTGCCGAAGGTCTGGTGAAGTATTTATTTGTTTATTTATGTCCTTTAGATTGAGTATTTGTTTTTTGCTTATACAATGTCATAGAAGTGACCAGGGAGAATATAATTTACATTGCTGGAATTCTTATATGATAGTGATTAATTTGGATGTAAACATGCCATAGTTTGCACTAGACAAAAATTTTAGTAATCATTTTGTACATTATTCTGATTACATGTACAGTTCAGCTTTGTCCTTAGGAAAGTGTGTGCATGTAAATGAGTTTCAATAAATGAATAAAGTTACATATATCGAGCCAAAAATAATAGTTGAAAAACTTTATGTAGACAGCTT